AGTTTAACCGTCCCCACTGTTGGTCTTATAATCCATATGCTAGAAAAGTGAAGGAGGAAGATACTGAAAGGAGAATCTGGTGCAAGCCCTCATTTGGCAATTGAGAAAATTTCTGGTGGTTCTGGTTATGAACTTCTTGTATTGTAATTATTTAACCTTTTTCCCAGATTAAATTAGGGGAACCAGGATACAAAGAAAGATATTATGCTGAGAAATTCAATGCATCAAACCCAGGAGAGATTGAAGAAGTTAAAAGAGATGTCGTAAGTTTAAACATTCTATTATATGAAGTTTTTTGCTACAATATCACATGTATATAATAATGTTATCCTGTAGATGTGTAACAGCAATCTCAACTTCTTGCAGGTTTTGAAATATGTTGAAGGTTTATGTTGGGTATGCACCTATTACTACCAAGGTGTTTGCTCTTGGAAATGGTTAGTTTAATGTGAACTATAACATGATAAAGTTATAGTTGCTTTTTTTTCTGGCTATTTTTCATTTTGATGAACTAAATGGATTAAGCTTAAATGCTAATTTGAGCATACATATATGCTAGTAGAGTCCTATTCCCTCTAATGCTTGCCCTTCTATATCTTGTTGATTTATGCTATCTGATACTTCTGCTTGGTTCTTAAACTGGGCTTCTGTAGCATATACATGCATACATATGTTGCAAGATGTGGCTTTGACTTGAGATTTTCTTGATGTGACCTAGCAAGTAGTTTAATACATGCTAGTCTGACATGTTTTTTTCCCCTTTTTATGTAGTCTAAAGTTTGGTCTCGACTTTTTGTTTCAGGTTTTATCCAAATCATTATGCGCCATTTGCTTCAGATCTTAAGGATCTGATTGACTTGGAAATAACATTTTTCATGGGAGAACCTTTTAAGCCCTTTGATCAGCTCATGGGAACATTGCCAGCTGCCAGGGTTTTTCTTTTCAATTGTTGTTGTTGGGTTTTGTTTTTAAAATAAAAAAGAAATTATATGGGTGTGTGTGTGTGTGTGTATAGCCTTCTAATGCTTATGCATTTTTCTTCAAATATATCTTCTATGTGGTTAGAGTCTATAACTGGCTATGCTAATAGCAATTTGTTTCTATGTTATAGTTCTAAAGCTTTGACAGAAGAATACAGGAAACTGATGACTGAACCATCATCACCTATCTCTAGTTTCTATCCCTCTGGTAAAAATGGGTCAACTCTTGGTGGTATGCTTACCTAGTGATGTTCCTCCCATTTTCCTAGATTTCTCATTTTTCTCCATGTGACAGATTTTGAGATTGATATGCATGGTAAACGCTTTGCATGGCAGGTACATTATTCCACCAAGTTAACTTGTTAATATTTGTTTTCTTATCCTTTTCAACAGAGATTACGGTAACTTACCTCCATTCTTTTGGATCCAGGGTGTTGTCAAGTTGCCTTTCATTGATGAGTGGAAGTTGCTTGTTGCAACAAGAAAGCTTGAGGCTACTTTAACGGTCCATGTTGATGTTTTAGGCTAATATACTTTATTGTTGAGTGATCATTCAAAATGTCCTGTAGCACTAGCTATTGTTTTAAAATGCTTGTAGTTGATCCATTGTGCCAACGGTTAATGTTTGCAGGTAGAAGAGCAGTTTCGAAACAGTGTGATGCTTGTCTTGTTCTTCTCTCAATATTGTCCTTGACTTGTTGATGGAGTCTTTTAACAAATTCTGCTTTGTTCTTTCCATCTTTGTTCACTATCTGATCATAAGGTAAAGGAAGTAAGTCCAAAGGAGTTAAAGGATTGAAACCATACACTACCTCAAATGGAGAATGTTTAGTTGCCGAGTGAATGGTTCGGTTGTATGCAAATTCCACGTGTGGTAGGCATTCAATCGAGCTTTCCTTAGCATTCCATGAGCTGCCTTGTACTTTGTGAGCTGTTTGTGAGCTATATATGACGTCCAAATCATTCACCAAGCTACCTCAACGTGCATCACACTCCATTGTACCTATATGTGCAAGGAAACAAGGTAAGTTCATGATATTGAGCTATCTGCTATCTGTTCAATCTCTTCATCCTTTGGCTTCACAAATTTCATATTACTATCAGTTCTCCCCTCACAAAAAAAATAAAAAATGAATGGCCAATTAACACAAATGCTAGGTTGGTTAATCTCACTGTTCTTCATTAATCCAGTATTCACAGTTCAAGAAATTTGACGGAAAATCTTTTCATTTTATCATCCCTATCCACTATTCCCTCACAGTGGTGGAATGAACGGATTTCTTTGGTTAACTGAAAGGAATGGTTGGAAAAGTGTAGTCCCTTCCCCTGTTAAGGAATTGCCACACATAGAATCAAACCATGTTATGCAAGTCTTTCTTAGTTCTATTGCCATCCCCCCTACCCCCCCCCCCCAAAAAAAAAAAAAGGAAACCTATATAATCCTTGTTATTCTTTTGGTGCATTTTTTTCTTTGCAGAAACATTACTTATCTTAATCCTTTACTTCATAAACACATTCCAGAACTTCCACAGGGTGTTGTGACACCCAAAAAGGTACATAATTTCCGACCTCTATTGATTTTAGTTTAATTATGATTAGGAACTCAAGGATGCTCGGGATTCCCCTTAAATTATTTTTTCAGTGTTTTTGTTTTTTGAGGATCATTAGGGAAGTATCGCTGGGTCTTTTAAGAGTTAACATTTAAATAAATAATGGTGCTTTTGCAGATTCTAACCCCTTTTCCTGTATTATGGCATGAAGATAATGGAGGGCGGCTCCAGCAGGGCAGAGATCGGTGAGAGTACATTATTATAAAATGTTGCCATTAATTTTAGTGTCTTTGCTGTTATAAATGGCCTCATAATTTATTCAAATCCAAAATGGTAGATTATTGAGATGTTCATTATTGTACTTGTTTGACAGGTCACGGGTACCTGGAGCGATCAATGGCCCTCAACTAGGAGAGGCAGCTCATCGTCTTGTCAAGAACACACTTAATATCAAATCGATGGCTCATTGCCTGGGTTGTTCGAGCAACCACCATTTAACATCTCGAGCAACTGCACAAGCATTAAACAAGACCTGCTGGACCATCTGGTTATGAAAGGGGCTTTTTTGATGACCCAAGTCTTTCTTATAGTAGTCGACCACGCGCAGCTGGATTTCCAGGTTATGGAAGGGGATACGGTGATGGCCCAAATTATTATGGTCAACACAATCATCTACATGGCATAATGGCTAAACCAAGACATCCCTCATCAAATGGTATGCAAGTCAACGGAAACAACTTCCGGGCGCAGGAATGATTGCATTATCAGGAACATTATAATGATTTGAGGACTGAAATGTCTGCTTCGTCATTCGAGGGAAGTGGCAGAGGTAGAATACACGTAGAGATGTCTTCAAGGATGCCAAATTCTGGATACTCGCGACATTTAGACCACTGGCACGAGCAGATTACCAATGCTCCTCCTCCCGTTCCCCCTCCTACCAAGTGGATCAATATGCCAGAGAACGTAAACACTGGAACTTACAATTAGAATTTGGATCAATACAAGAGGCAGGTGAAAAGGTTGATCAGATTTAAGACACGTCTGCAGGGAATGTTGGTTCCCGAAAACCAGTGACTGATTAAGACGGAATTGCCTGTTTTTTGACACAGGCATGTTATTGATAGTCTAAAGGAAACTTTTTAAGTACTTCTAACTTGGATGGTCGTACGTTGCCAGTTGCCACTGCTGTCAGGTTAGAAAACTAGCCTCTAGAACCGTTTGAATGTTCCAATGTCCAACCATCTGTCGGTTTCCATACAATTTTGTAAATGAACTTGTTGTCATATGAGCTTCACACAACCACATATGGCTGAAGCAATCTAAAACTAATGTTCATTTACAAAAATCAAATGGTTTAAGTTATGAATCTTAGAATTCAGAAAGGTATCTGTAGTCGATGTATCATGTTCTACCCTTTGCGTTTCTCGAAACGCAGCTTAGTTATTCGGGTTGGTTTTTGTCTATTCAGGTAGGTGAAATAGATGGCATTTGGATTGAGAGATGCTTAGGCCTTTTGTCTAAAAATGTACTAGTTTTACAACATAAGCATTATAGGGTTGTAGACTGTTGTTGGTTTAGGTTGATAGTATTATTTCTTAATATACAGGAATCAACAAAGCTGCCTGTTGTGTTTCAATGGCTGAGCTGAGAAAATGAAATTTCTATGTTGTTCAATTTTAAGGTTAGCTTACAGAATGTTCACTTTCTTGATAATTAAGTCAATATTCTTGGCATTCCTTTGCAGTGATTTTACTTATTTAATTGCTGTTTTTTTAAAACATTTTTTAGGAATTGTTTTTTCTTTTTAGTTGATAAAAACAATAATGAAAAGGAAACATTTTTTTCCTAATTTTGCCCTTGTATGGTAATTCAGACGCACGTGTAATAGAACCCTAAAATAGCACTATTAACGTGTTTAAGCCATCACAAATTTAACATGCAAATAATGGAATAAAAACAGCACATTTAAAGACGATTAATGTCTATAACATGATATGAAGTCTATCCCCATTATTCTTTAATTGAGGATGGATGGTTTCATTCAATAATGTGATATTTTGGTCGAATTTAAAGATTAAATTGGTATTTTATTTAAAAATTAAAAATATAAATTAATATTTTTTTAAAAAAATTAGAAGTTAAATTAATATTTATTTAAAACAATAGGTTAAATTAAAATTTGTTGTAACTTAATGGTTGAAAATAAACAATTTAATGATTAAAAATAAATAATTATGAAATAAACCCAACGAATAAATATAATATTAATTTTTTGAACAAATTTTAAATTTAATCCTAGTTCTACTTATGTTGGAGTATATATATATATCGTCGAGGAAGGGAATGCATAATCTAATTTGGACCTCATTTCATTATCTCATTTGAAGCAAGAAGGTGAGAAATATAGTCTAAAACTTCATTTTTCAGCATAAATGAAGAGTTTTTATGAGTTGAAAAGCCACGAAGAAACCAAAATGAAAGAAGGTTATTACTGCAAAAAGTAACCACTCAGAAAAAGCACGAAAAAGAAGAACAAACTTCCATAAATCAACAGAGCTTTCTGTCCAGAAGTAAGAGTATTGCCTCCTAACCCATATTGTTGATTCTGTGCAAAACCCGCAATCTCCACGCTTTTATTCTCAAAGAAACTCTGAGCAGCGCCGCAAGTCGGGCATCTCCAATCATCCGGCAACTTCTCGAACTCAAACCCTGGTGGGATTGGATACGACGGATCACCCAATGCTTCATCGTACTTAAACCCACACGATCTGCACTCATATATTCCCGTGTTCAACACTGCAAATTTCTCCTCCAGCCTGCGTTTATCCATCTTTTCTTCTTCACTCTCTTTGGGTTCTTCTTGGTCTGAACTCGGGATGTCTTCTTTGGATACATCAATGGAGTTGATGACGGTGAAATGCAGCCGCCCCTTTTGGGGTTTGGATTTGAGCGAAATAGCGGGTTTGGATGGAAGAAAGATGTGATGGGAGTGGTGTGGTTTTGTATAAGGTTGGGTTGAGTTGTGAAAAGAAAAGGCGAGCCTTGTTGTTGCAGAAGCCATTTCGATGGAGCTTTGGGGGTTCAGAATGATAGTTAAGTGATATTTTGGGGAAGTGGGTGGAGCAGCAAGGAATGGATAAGATAGTAAATCAACCAAGTTTTCTAGTTTACAGGTACAATTAATTTTTCTATTTGGGCTGGGCTACCTGTCAGACTTCAGAAACTGGTCTGCTTTTGAGATGGGTTGAATTTTCTAAGTTTGCAAACCATTATTCAGAAATGGGAAATCTATTTTGCTTGAAGTTCCACGCATATCAAGACCATGTAACTAACTTAAGCAAGCATTCCATGTCTGATGAACTCATTTTATCGAGCATTAAAACAAGCGTACACTAACTGATTGAAAGTAAAAAAAAAACATCAGAAATGAAAAATAACTACTTATCTCACTAATTTCCCAAATCTAAAGTTTTGAACTTTGAGACTTTAAAGCATGAAACGCTTGATGCATAAACAGCCTTTGATCTCATCACTTAATCCAATATGCTTACAACATTTGATAGAGACAACATTACAATCTTTTTTTATCAAACTTTAAAACATGTTTACAAGAAATGATGAAAAATGGAAAGCATGATAAGTGACACCAAACAAATAAAAAAAAAGACATTCTCATTAGAAGCAAACCATGAAAAGACATCCGCAATCCTAGTTCAACCTTCCTTCCACACGCCTATGATGCTCAAATCCGAGGATAAACGTCACATATGGACGATTTAAGGAAAACAGTTAGTCAAAATAACACAAATTCTCAATCACCAACACCAAAACACCATAACAAGTGGTCTATGCAATCAAATTTCAAATTTTATGCAACAATGCAGTAAATTGGCAAACTGTAATTGAATCCATTTTTGCAAATTCTATAATGTTTCGCATGGTTGCATTAAATTGACGATAACATCCGTCTTTTGTTCTAAGCAAGTCACCCCAACCCATGCATAAAAACCATATATACAAAAACGAGAATAACTAGAGCAAACTATTGATTCAAAGACTAAATGATTATAAATCATTATTCCAATCATTGTTCATTTCTATCAAATAAACAAAAAGGTAACCCAAAAACGAACTAAGAAAAACAGTTACCCTCGTATTCAAATCACTATCAGCCATCCATCAATTAAACAATAAATCTTTCATGGAAATAACTCGTAAGTACCAGTATTCAGAAATCACCCTCCCATCGACCGAACCTCCTCCAAGGCTGCCTTAATCTGATCCTGCACCAACTCCAACCTCTTAGAATAAACTTCCAACTCCAATATTTGCTGCTTTCTCCACCTCTCATCAATTAAATCCCCGTTTCCCACACCACCAGCCCCGAAATTGCCAAAATTCAATGGCATGGCATTCATGGCCAATCCACTAATCCCTCTTCCTCCACATCCTCCTACTCCCCAAATTAAACTACCGAACACCACCTTAAACATGGGTGTTAAACAACACTTCACCGTCTCCTCTATTACAGTCGCCACGTTTCCTCTTTCTCCTCCTCCTCCACCACCACTACCGCCGCCACCAACACCACCAGTGCCACCACCAAATCCCTCGGCATTACTGTGATCATGATCGCTCTTGTTATTAAAATTATTGTTAGAAATCACAAACCCATCGTTTAAAACACTCCTCTCCCTCATTTTCCCTCCTTTATTTCTTGACCCTTTTCTGGTGGCTGGGGATTTTGGAGTGAAATTCTTTTTCTCTCCACTTTCATCTAGCAAATTGATGTTAGTAACACTATTATTAGTACTGTTTTCATCATAATCTAAAACGTTATCTTCTACTTTGCAAACACTATTACTCCAGATCTTCCTAGAAATCTCAAAAGTAGCTTGATCATGAGGGCTTTTGAAGGAAAACTCTTTACCTGAATTAATCTTATTCATCACGTTCCTATATTTCTTCTTCAATCTTCTAAGCTTCTCCACTAATTGATTCTTGTTGAAATCCAGCTGAAGCTTTGATTTGATTAGATCGTAAAACAATGCAGTATCGTGATGATGATGGAGAGAAGAAGAATTCGGGTTGGTTTTCGAAGTTGTATAATCCAGAAACCCTTGGAGAAGCTCGATCTCATCTTCATCAGTTCATAAACGTTGAAACAACCGTCGCGATTCATCGAAAGGTTGCGGCGGAGTAGGTTTTTTCTCCGAGACGACGGAATCAATCCGTCGTCCTTTGAAATCGGGAGTCAATTCGCCGACTCGGACGGCAGCGACTGTTACAACAGTCGAGGTAGGCACGGCAAGAGGAACGGCGGGTATTAAGGCAGAGGAAACGACGGCAGCAATCGGCTGAGGTAGTAAGGAGGAAGAATTAAAACCTTCTTCTTCCTCTAACAACTCTTCGTCCTCTTCTTCGTTGCCGTTGAGGACACCGTCGTTTCCGGAGGAGGAGGGTTCCTCGTCGTCGTCCTGAGATTCCTCAAAAACGGAAAGAGAAGATGTTAGTTTGGTTAGAGGTAGGCCCGTGCGGGGTTCATTACCAGGCCGACGCTCTCTTCTAGCGCGTGTACGATGGAAATCAATTCAATTTCCATATATGGGAATGATATCATATTTCTTTCATTATTTTTGTTGAGAAATCGTATTGTATTTCTGAAGAATTCTAAAAATATAAACTTGTATACAATAAACAAGATAAATTGATAAAATTATTTAAATATCATTATTAACAATTGATTTATTATCGGTTAATTTAGATTATATAGTCTAAAAATTTATTATAATAATGATGCTATCAATCCAATTAGAGCTTGACTCGAGCAAACTGAGATGATCAAGTTGGGACAAATAATAACTCGTCTAAAGCTCAACTCGAATTAAATTCTGTCAAACGAAATGAGTACAAGGTAAAGTTTTTCCTTATTCTTGTCAAACATGTTGGTAAAACTTGCAGGTGCCATAAATGGCAATAGGATAAATTGGTTGGCAAGCCAACAACCCAATTAATGGTGCATCATTTGTTGAAAAATAAGGAAAGCCAATTAAATGAATTAGTTGGTAGAAATAGAATGGGAGATTATGCATATATAAATAGCTCACACCAACAAGTTCTTAATCAATCCAAGTGAGAACACAAAAGAAAAGCTTAGAGAGAAAAACCTTAGTGAGAGAAAATTGAGAGTAATTTTCAGGGTGTAATTGGGTTGTGAGTGTTTTTTTTGTAAACACCTGTAAATTTTCTCCCTTTAGTAAAAGATCTGCGGCAGTCTGGAGACATAGGCATAATTGGCCGAACTCCATTATCAATTTCGTGTGTTACTATTTCACTTTTATTTCGCATTCTCACTAATATGGTTATAAGGAAATTACTCGTTTAATTTCCCAACAACTGGTATCAAGAGCTTTTGGTGGTGAATTTGTCAGTTTTTTCTGTGAGGTTACTATTCACGTGAATAATAAAATTTGGTCGGCGATATGAGTTTGTCGACGGAGGTGTTCTAATACAATGTGGTTCGCATGAATTGTCAGAAACGATCCAAAAGAAGCCAGATTCGAGTAGGACCGATGACTACAGACGAAGGGAATGTGAAAATTGAGAAGTTTGATGGTGCGGACTTTGGCTTTTGAAAGATACAGACTGAAGATTTTTTGTATAAAAAACACTATATCAACCTCTTTCAGGAAAGCAACCGGAATGCATGAAGGATGAAGACTAGGCTCTTCTCGACAGACAAGCCCTCAGAGTTATTCGACTGACGTTATCTCGCAATGTTGCTTTCAACATAGCAAAGGAAAATACCACGGCGGGTCTTATGGCATCTCTCTCTAGTATGTATGAGAAGCCATCGGCCTCAAACAAAGTTCACTTGATGAGGCGATTATTCAATTTGTGGATGGCAGAAGGGGCATCAGTGGCTCAACACCTAAATGAACTCAACATAATCATAACCCAGTTGAGTTCCGTGAAAATTGAATTCGATGATGAAGTTCGAGTTCTCTTATCATCTCTACCAGACAGTTGGAATACTACTGTTACAGCAGTCAACAGCTCGTCGGGAAACAGCAAATTGAAATTCGACGATGTTCGGGATCTGGTATTAAGTGAAGAAATTCGACGGAGAGAATCGAGTGAAACATCAAGCCCCTCAGCCTTGCACATGAATCTAGAGGGAGAACTTCAGAAAAAAATTCAAATCGTGGTAGATTGAAATCCAAAAGGGGAAAATCAAGAACGGGAAAGAAAGATTTTAACTGTTATAATTGCGGCAAGAATGGTCACTTTAAAAGAGAATACAGAGCATCGAAGAAAGATACCAGCGCACAGGAATATGCCAACATGGCAGATGAAACAGGTGATGTCATGATTCTAAGCGTTAACAGTCTGATTGAAGCATGAATATTGGATTCAGGGGAATCTTTCCACGCCACCCCTTGCTAAGAAATCATGGAGAACTATGTCAGTGGTGATTTTGGGAAGGTTCATCTAGTTGATGATGAAACATTGAAGATCGTGAGAAAATGAGATATCCGATTAAAGTTGTCAAACCAGACCACCTAGAAGCTGAAAGGAGTGAGACATATTCATGGCCTCAAAAGAAATTTGATTTCTATAGGACAGTTTGATGGAGAAGGATATTGTACAACCTTTTCAAGCTGTGAATGGAAGATTACCAAAGGAGCATGTAACACCCCCAACCCGTACCCAACTCGAATACGAGTCTGAGGTGTCACATTGACTTTTCAAACTTTGACTCTTGACAAAATTCAAGGAAAATTTAAAACTTTCATTAAAATAAAGGTAATTTATTTACATAAATTGACCAAAATAACCAAAATCGATCAGAGCATTCATAACTGACACTTTTCTTACATGCCAACACAATATACACAACAAAATACATACATTATTAGTTACTTCTGATCTGATCTTCTAGCAGTGTTGTTGTTCTTGCCACTCCTATTTTTGTTCTTCACGATTCTTGGTACCTACGTGTAAATCACTTACATGCTAAGTCACAGACTTAGTGAGGCATAACATAAATATATGTATATACATGTATAACAATGAATTCATGAACATGCATTCTTACCATTGATCATGACACTATAACATATATGATGATAACATGCACATATAT